CCGCTGGCGCGGCCCATGCGATTCTGGCCCGCTTGCGAGGCGGCCCGCGGCGGGGGAGTCCCATGCGCATTGGCGATTTTGTAAAACAGACATCGAACTCCTCCCAATTTATAACTAAGTACCAACACTATTTTCTCCTCTCTCAGACCTTCTCACTTAACCCCCTGGCTTTTCCCTAATTCACCCGCGCGCACCCTCGATGATTCAGCGCACGGCGGCGCGGCGGGTGATGACATGGTGTGACCGTGCCGGCCACTAGAGGCTCACGCTGGCCCATCGGTCGGGCCGACCTTCAACTACGGTCCAACCGCCTACACCAAGCAGTAACGCAGGGCGGCGGGACACGTTGGAGCGAGCTGCAGTGATGCGCGGTGGTGGCGCAGCTGCCCCGGCGATCCAAAGCACCTAAGAACCTAACTGGCTAGCGAGGGAGCATCAGTAGACTACCGTGGACCTAGCCAAGGTGACGGTTGGTGTGGAGGATGGTGGAGGAGGTGTGGCCACGTGCGGTCGAGCCGTGCGACGGCGCACTGCGGTGGCGTGGTCGCATCAACAGCGACGAGGAGGCGGTAGCGGTTCTACTGGTGTGCACAAGGTGGAGAGGGAGGCAAGGCGATACTAGTGGTGCAGGTGAATTGGCTCGGGAGAGACGGTAGGAGGACTGCCCTCGTCCACAACTAGACGCGGCCTTATCGGCACGGCGGCGAGAAAAACGCCAAATTGGAGCTCGACCGGGCGCCATTCAAGGTGGGGTGGGTCGGGCAACAAGAGGACTTGATGGCGGAGACACAGGTGCGCGGAATTGAAAGGAGATGACCACTCGCTAGTTAATTGCATGGGGCGCGACTCCGACGGTGGTAGTAGAGAGAGAGAGACGGGCCGGTAGGTGGCATAGCACGACCTCGCCTTGGCGGGACATGCTCGGCGCTACCGGGAAGGCATGCGCGTAGACGCAAAGGGCAAGCGCGCGTGTCCCCGACCTGCCATGGCCCGCGCGGCGCAGCGCCATAAATGGCAAGGCGATGGCGAGCACGGCCACGTGCGCACGGCAGTGGCGGCCTCGAACAGGGACAGTAGTGGTGCGAAGGTGCAGAGAGAAGCGCGGACGTGATGGTGAGGTGACGACACTGACAGCGGCTACGTAGTGGCGCGGGGTGGGTCGGCAGTGCGGCAGCGCGGCGGGACAGCCAGCAGTGCCACATGACCACGCAAGCCGCAGCGACGGCTCCACATGGTAGAGGCCAGTGGCGACCAGGGCAGAGGTAGCCGCGGCTGGCCACGCGCGGCGACGACATGCACCCGAGCGTGGTGACCGCGTCCACCAGGCCAACCAACCCAAGAACGTGTCGTGCACGCGTTTTAAAGCACCTATAACAACTAAACGGTTGCTTCTGGATCTAAACTATCTTTACTATGCTCAAGATAGCATATGAGGCTACCAAACCGAGCTAAAACATAACACATTTTCTTAACCTGATTTTGTAAAATAAATTGCCAAACATGGCATTGTCTAGCTATCTATATACTTAAAAATCTTCTAAGACTATGAGCTGAATTTGATTCCAAGTTGTATTTCTAGGATATTAGAAATGTTGGCTAGCAATGTTATTTTCAACCGCAAGGATTTCATTGTCATCTACAAAGTCCATACTTCAACTTTATTTAAGCGCCACATATATGTTCTATAGTTTTTTTGTTCAATAAAAAATAGTTTTAAACCCTACTTGATACATATGAGTTATGGAATAGCTTTTCATTTAACATTTTTATTGATCATCTGAAGTTACAAAAATATTATCTACACCTTCCATCACATGCATTATCACGTAAACATGATGTTCATGACATAGTTTGGTAATTTGTTTAGGACGTAACACCGAGGGTGTTACACTAGCGCCCAGATCTAGTACCGGACATCTGATTCGAGGCGCTAGCGGTCGAACCCAACCCGCAGAACGCGAACAAGCGCCTAGCGCGTCGGGCTCGCGAGGGAGCGCACCCGCAGTGAGCCCACGCTGCCTCGGACGTCGTCCGCGCCGCCGGCCGCTTCCCACGCGCATCCAATGTGCAACATCTGGTCGACTTTTGAAACATCCAAATGCAATTGTTGTAACATATAAAAAAGACAGATGGAACACTTGAAACAAGTGTTTGAAACACTTGCGAAAACGCTTGAAAAACATTTGAAAACCATTGTAAACATATGCAACATCCAAATGAAACGCTTGCAAACATACGTATGAAATACGTGAAAACACTTGAGACATATGCTTGCAACATGCATGTATATGTAACCTCCGGATCTACTTTTGCAACGTCCAGACAAAACACTTATAACATTCGTTTGAAACATGCACTTGAAACATACGTGTATAGCCATTATAACATGTGCAGCATCCCGATCTACTTGTGCAACATTGATATACAACAGTTGCAACATTGCTCTGAAATATCAGAAACACTTGAAATGTACTATTGCAACATGCGCTTTTAACGTAGCATCTACTTGCTACTTAGATGAATGGAGGCTCGTCGACGCGGAGCTCGACGTCGGCGCGGAGGTAGCCGGTGTGGAGCTCGGTGGCGGCACGGACCTCGGCAAGGGCAGGCGGATGGACTGCGGTCACGACGGGAGGCGCGAGTCTAGGAGCGAGCTAGCGAGCACCTAGAGCGTCGGGCTTGCCGTGCGCAGCGCGGGCGGGCGACGGGGCGTCGCGGGTGAGGGCAGGGTCCATCCCGTGAGCAGAGCAATCAGGCGAGAATGGCATGGGCGAGTGCGGGGTCCGTCGAACGCACGGACGCCCTATAAGAAACATTTCCCAAAATAAGAATATATGAAAATCGAACTGCAATCCCGTTTCTAATTCAGGCCATGTTTAGTTCCCCAGATTTTCTGAATTTGGCACTATGCAAAAAGAAGATTCCCCGTCACATCAAACTTGCGGTACATGCATGGAGTATTAAATGTTAACGAAATTAAAAACTAATTGCATAGTTTTCTGAACGTTTTGAGCCTAATTAGTCAACGATTGGACAATTATTAAAAAAAAAAAACAAAATGCTACCGTGTTTAAACAGTGCTGCCAAATCCGGCGGCGCCGAATCCGGCCTCCAACTAAACACGGCCTCACCATTACATCCAAACAGCCCCGAAATGAAAAGACTCCCTTATTCCTGGTTCAATTGTGAGAACCAGACGGTGCCCAAGTAGTTTCGGAATTCTAAACTGATATGCAGATCTGAAGTGCCGAAAAGCAGAAAGCCAGTCAAACCCGGATGGCTCGAGAACTCAGTCCTGCTCAAATCAGCAAACGAACACGACAAATGCAGCTTCGGTTTCTTAATCAATCCAGACAACAAAACAATTGGCACAGTTCGGCTTGCTAAAACTGGCTGAAAACATTGTTCTGGCTGAATTGTTATGAGAGAAAAACACGGTGCCACTAAAACAAAAGCCGAACAAGCCGATTTTAAGCCGATTTTAAGGTAAGCCGATTCTAAGGTAAAGCATATGCTGAAGCCAGAGGTAACCGCACATGTCATCAATCGCTCTGTCGTATCACAGCTCCTAGTCAACCGTTAACAACAATTGCAGCTTTCCCTTTTAAAATGAATACGGTATACAAGTATAACAGTAACCCACTCTGTGTCGGGTTCATAAACTCGTGGTCCCTAATGGGCATGCTTCCCAGCAAAAAGCTCGGCCCAGAAGACAACGTTGCGGACGACACGTAACTCCTGGGCCGGCCCAGATACTTAACAACAGGCCGGAAGGGTGATCCAGTCTTCTACCGGAAGGCCTGGTCAAGGAGGGGCGACGCTCTCTTCCGACTCTGACCCGCGTCTCCGACCGGGAGCACACCAAACCTCTGCCTGCGGCTCTTCTCCGACCGGCGCGGTCGGAGCCGACTGGGAACGACCGAACGAGGACGCCCGCTCAGCGAGGACCCGAGAAATCAGACGAAGCAGATAAGGTAAGGCGCATAAGTCAAACCGCAATACCAAAGACCGTACCCTGCACACCTGCAGGACAGTACTGTCAGGTCATGCCAGAAGGGTACTTTATAACCTTCCAGACATGTCAGAACAATAAACAGTGTTGTGGACGTCGATATTTGTCCTACAGTATGGTAGGCGTCGATATTTGCCATACCAGAAGAATACGATGGAACCAACCACATGCATCAGGGCGTCAACAGTATTGTAAGCGCCGACAAACCGTCTCGTACCCGACGGCGTGGGCAACGAGACTAGATAACACACACTCCCTCTCTCTCACTTGTAAGGCCGTCCCATTCATCTATAAAAGGGGATGCACCCTCTCCCAAAAGGAGGTCGATTCGAGAAACAACACACAAATTATTTCGACTCACTCTCTGCTAGCTTTAAATATACTAAAGCTACACAGAACATATGTTCCAATACTTAGCGCGCGTAGGAGCTCCCGTGACTCTTGGCCCTTCGGTCCAGAGTCCGACCAAACCTCTGATACCTCCCATCTTATTCCTACTCGTTTGTAACCCACAGCAAACCTCGAGCACCTGGACTCAGGAATAAAGTCACCGATCGACTCAAACTGACGTATGGCACGTTGCCTGAATCAGTATAAACCCTATGTCATTGAGTGCTAGACCACATCAGATCACAACGTACGGTAAAACAATAAATATTTACTAGTTGGTCACTTTTCGCACCGACAATATGAACAACCAAGACAGCACAAATTAACAAACAAATCGAGTAACAATGCACGTATAATGAAACTATGCTGTAATTCCCCTTAACTATCTGATTACAGAAGTCTAACAGAGCCCATATTATACACACAAAAGAATCAATACACAGCGTCTGACCATGGTTTCATTAGCAAGGTCCTAAAAATACTTCGTGGTGTATCTCTGTTCTTCAAGGATGTCCAAGCAACCAATCATTATGCTGCATGGTATTTCCAACTTTTGTATATAGAACACGCAGCAATAATGTACGAAGTGTCAATAAAGTCACACTTTCCCAGCTGTGACTCCAACTACAACGCTGCTGACCTGTGTGAAGCCAACAAAACAAAGTTAATCAAATCAAACGATGGTTCAGTCAACAATGCAAAATATGCAACTCAGTAGATCAAAAAGAGCTTACAAGTTTTCCCTTGTCATCAACTGTCATAGGGTTCTCAACAACAACAGTTACATTCTGAGGTTGAGATTTAGGCTGCAGGAAAACAAAAAGGTGATAAATCGCTCCACGTTTCAAGAATGACCAGTTAAACCATTGAATTTCATTGATAAGGACTTACAGCAGAAGTAGATGAGCCACTATATGAAGAGTCATTTGATGTTGGCCTCGCAGATGGAGTGGGTGCCACAGTATTTACCTGAGATTCAGAACAAAGCTCAGTAAACTCTGCATAATACACTGATTGCATTTGCATGGCAAGTAGGCAAAGAATGAGGCTTGACATACTCCAGTAGTCGTGACATAATTGCATATGGCACATTTTACTGAAGGTGCGCCATATGGATACATCAAAGTTGTCCGGCACTGGCCGCAGTTCACATGAGCTATATTATTCACTGCACAAAGGAGAAATTGCTCATCATAAGGGATACCCACGCAAATGGACATGCAACCTAAGCTCCATGCCCAACTAATTTTTTTTTGAAAGAGAAGTGGCAGGAGCTCTGCCTTGAATTAAAGGAAAGAAAGAAAACACAGTTTTGCCTCAATGGCAGAAACGCCTCAGCAGGCTACAAAACATCCCCAGCCGCTTAAAAAGGACAAGCCGCCAAAAAACAGAACAAGCTACACACAGAGGCCCACAATTACAGGTTTAAAAAGCACACTGCCGTAGTTCAATGTCCTCTTGCCCAACTAAATGGAGCATCAAACTATGCCTGGTTTATAGGTCATGCTAAAACAAGTTGCGGAAAGAAATGTGTGCCACATGTCCTGATTACCATGTGAAGATATCATAACTTAATTTAGTACAATAATATTTTTACATAAAGCTATGACGTTATGCATAGGTTTTACTCAGTTTCATTGTGAGTGACAATGGCCAAACAGAGTAATTCCTTGTTAACCCTTCTACGTAAGGAGAGGATGAATGTTTGAAAGTAGTTATGTAAAAAGCTCAGAGAGGGAAGGATAGGGGGGGGAAATCAATAGTACCTGGTCTAACAAGATTGACTGTGTTGCAACATGAACACCTTACAGTGTCTGCACTGCGAGTATACATCAGCAAAGTTCGGCAACCACCACATATAAGCTGAGCCATCTCCAGTCCTGAAATAATCAAGTTAAAAGAACATCAAACTAGTGTGTGAAGGACTATGAACCAACTGTAAATCTCATAATGGTATACGGAAGCCCTTTGTAAATCTTTTCTTTTCATGCAAAGCAGGGGGAAAAACTCCACTGGAAACAGAGAAGATAAGACATACTATATCATATTTTAGGATTTGCCTCATTTCAAAACAAATAGTGAACAGGATGCATGGTGGTAGAAGATGACTGGAACATAGAGGTGAGCACATAAACAAATTGCGAACAAAAAGGGACAGAAGGAAAGGATATAGAATCTGTAGCTTGATAGAAAGATAGAGCTTGTTACCAAAGCCGCGAGGGATTAGCTTCTAATGTTATATAAACACAAATGATGTAGTTGTTTTAATTACACCACATTCTAAGGCAGCGATAGAAACAAGCTGGTGAAAGCAATAAAAAAATGCCATGACCAGTGAGCTAACATGCTTATTTTTGTGTTGATCATATGGGCTCACCAAATTTTTAGGATGCTATTGAGAAAACTACAAAAGAGGGCCGAAGATATAGCAAGTGGAACACTATAGATAACACATGTTTTTTAAGAATAAGAGAGGCTTGAAACGTGGTGAGAACCTCTGGTAGTGGATAAACGGGCAACTTTGGGTTCCTATTTGTGCTTTGATGCTAGGATCACAGCACATGCAATTGGATGAACACATATACAGAAAAATACCCACTGTGGTGTACCAGCATCAGTCACATTATACAGAGCAGACAGAGACAGGAGAATTATCAGTGCCCTGACGTGTAAACTTAAAAACTGTTTTGTCCATTATTTTAGCAAAGTTCCAACTTCTCCGTTTTCCATCCAGAAGGCCACAGCAAGAGAAAACCAAATGCAAGTGCAACCTAATCAGAGTATTAGACTAGCATGAATCGTAGATGATACCCAATGCATACAGTAAAACTAGGTATGGTTAAGCTTGAACTTTAGTAACAACTGACTTTTCCAAACAAACTGAACAACATGTATGCAGGAAGGATAAGTTACTTGTGACATGTAAATTAATGTACATTCCATTTTTTTTTTCACGAGCAGACTCACAATACCTGCCAAACACCACGAAACTCTGTAGTCTATTACTATTAAAACATTATTATTATTTATAATTATGGTATATAATGTGAAACTCAAATGTTCGTTTCTCTTGCACCAGTAGCTAATTCGCTGTGCCAGATCACGGGTACAAGTTGAGAGAAACAGAGACGATTATTGCCGCGTCCCTGTTCCAGAGGACCAAGCAGTCGAAAGGGAAACCAAGCATCCAGTACGTACCTGGTGGCGGCACGGTGGTGATGGCCTGGCAAACCGCGCAGCAGACGCTGGACGCGCCTCGCGGGTAGAGCAGAACGGTCCGGCAAGCATGGCACACGATCTGGTTCTGCATACCTGGAATCGAAGGAGGGAAAAACAGCACGCACGGAATGAGCACCCAACCGTAACCAGATCGTAATCAACGAAGCAACCCGACCATCGGATGAGTCGAGCGACGACCTCCGGGGGGCCCAGCACTGAATTCGATTGGGGACGACAGCGCGATCGTTCGATCAACCACCCGACGCGTACCTACCATTAGCCGAGGAGCCAAACGCGTGCCAGCTATCCTCGCACGGATCCGAGCTCGATCGGGACCCCACCAAGCGTGAGAAGAGGAGGAGGAGGAGGAGGGGTGCACGAGGCGACTCACCGGCGTGGGACGCGCGCGCGAGGCTGTCCCAACGTCTGCGCCTCCGGTGGCTCCGGGAAGAGCTCGACGCGGGAGGAAGGGAGGCGGGGAGGGACGCGGCGTCGTCGCTTCTCTCTGTTCTTCCTCGGCGAAGCGAAGCGAGGCGACGGGGGAGATGATTTCGGATTGGATTTGTCTGGGATTGGGAGAGGAAGAGAAGAGGAGGGAGGGGACGAGACGATTCGGTGGCGTGGCGCTCTGCGTTTGTCAGGAAGGCAGCACAACTTAAATTTATTATCACGCGCTGACGCGACGGCGCACGCGGTTCGGATGGGGTGTGGGGACGCCTCTCCGTTCTCGCGGCCTTTATCTCCGCGCGTGCAGGGGGTGCCAGCCGACCAGCCCAAAATCTAAGGCCGTGTTTAGTTCGGCCGATTCGGCGCCGATGGAATCACTGTAGTTACACTGTAGCTACAGTGACGTTTTGTTTTTAATTGTTCAATCTTTGACTAATTAGGTTCAAAACATTCATCTCGTAAAGTACAACCAAACTGTGCAATTAGTTTTTGATTTCATCAACATTTAGTACTCCATGCATATACCGCAAGTTTGATGTGACGGGGAATCTTCTTTTTGCATGGTGTCAAAGTTGGGAATTTGGTGGAACTAAACATGGCCTAAACTTTGGCACGGTGCAAAAAGAAGATTCTCCGTCACATCAAATTTTGCGGTACATGCATGAAGTACTAAATGTTGACGAAATCAAAAACTAATTGCACAGTTTGGTTGTATTTTGCGAGACGAACGCTTTGAGCCTAAGAGCATCACCAAGAGTTTGCTATCTCAACTTGGCATCCATATAATTTTGGCAAAATCAGAAAAAATAGCCTCCAACAGTTTGGCAAAACAACTTGGCATCAATAGCAACTTGGCAAATCTTTCCTCCGCACGCGCAAATATACACGCGCGTATACGACTTGGCATCCGGGGCTCTTCGTTTCTTAGCGGGGCTCTTCGTTTCTTAGCGGGACTCTTCGTTTTGTTAACGGGTTTTTTTATTTTACCAAGTCAAAAATGCCAAACTCCCAGAAATGAATTGTTTTTTTACTTGGCATATAATTTTGGGAGTTGGCAAATCACAAGATTTGCCAAATAAAATTTGACAAACTCTTGGAGATGCTCTAATTAGTCAACGATTGAATAATTATTACCAAATACAAACAAAATGCTATAGTATCTACAATGTTTTGGGCGGCACCGATTCCGGGCAACTAAACATGGCCCAGGCCAAGGGATAGCAATATGGATTATGTCACGAGTTTTAAAACAAAAGCAATAAACCACGCGACTCTTTGAATTTTCGGCTTGTTTTCCACAGACCCTTCCTTCGATGCTGTGGGTCCAAAGATGAGATCGTTCCGTATAGCAATAGCAAGGTCCTAAAGTTATCTTAACTCGTTTTTTTATGTTTCATCTAATCTGTAGAAAAAGAGTATAAATATTTATGATATCAAATAAATATTATAAAACTATATTTTATAATGTATCTAATGGTATTAATTTCATGTCATAAATCTCGGTACTATTTCTATAAATTTAGTCAAATTTAAACAGTAATGTTAATGATCAATCGGTTGATTTGCCGGGCATTAAACGTTTTTTTTTTGCCACACGGATGCAGTTGGGGCATGTTTGGTTGGAGGCCTGGGCACCTTGCCTGGCAAAAATAGATGCCTGGGAGTTGTCTGAAAAGTTGATACTTTTTGCCTGGCCAGGCAAATGTAAGAAAGATGTGTTTGGTTGGTGCCTGGACTTGAAAAACTAATATGATGATAAAATATGATTTCTAATATAATATAACATAACTTTAACATTTATGATTAAATAATATGAAGATAGATAATTTTTAAATAAGCTTTAATATTGCAAAATAAAATAATCATAATCTAGATTGCAAAATAAACTTTAATATTGATGAACAATAAAAGATCTCTTCCATGCGCAGGTGAACAGTAACATGATTAGAATTGTTTAGGAGCAACCTGTACGGCTGTACGTCGTTTGTTGGCAGTAAAAAAAAGGCAATAGTTAATTAACTTGAATTGACTTTAATGCTGTACAAAATCAGCCAGGCAAGTGTTGCAGCGTCAGGCGCTCGTTTTTGGACGCCTGGGCCTGCACACCGATGCCTGGACCAGGCTGATGACTAGGGCTGCATCCAAACGGATCTCAGGCAAGACACAGGCACCCATCCATCCAGGCAGATTGACTCCAGGGCTCCATCCAAACATACCCTTGCTGCATGGCACGCGTACGTGGGCAGTTTTCCTGTCGAAGAGCCAAGGCCACCTCTCGCTGGTGAAGTAGGCAGGGTGCGTGATAGCTTGCACGTCCCTTGGCTCCAGCTTCTACAGGCCTCGTGACTCGTGACGCTGGCTTGCGGTCCCACGTCGGGTCCCCTCCGTATCAATCTCTCCTCTCTCACCTCTTGTGTGGATTTTTTTCTTTTGAAATTTCTAAAGAATTTATGAATAATTTAACGTATATTTATCTGATGTCTAGAATCCATAGAAATAATTTATACTTTTTTGTCAAATTTAGCATATATTTGTGTTATTCCTAAATTACATTACTCTGTTCAATAAATTACACTGAAAAAAGCATTGTAAATGTAGTAGTAAGGCGATGTAAATATAGCTATAAGACAGTGTAAGTGCATGAAAAAAATTTGGTTGATGGGAGAGGCTAAAACAACCAGGTAGACATCTCCAATTTAAAAATGCTTGACTTAAGATAACTATAAAATTGATTTGGAGAAAGTAGTGGTGGAGTGACCGGAGCACATGGAAAATGAGGACAGGGCTCTAATATTGTAGGTACGAGGTTATTCTAGTTCGGCATAAAATGAGTATATATGAGATAGATCTGGCCCCGTCCGGCTTGCTGAAATTTTGGCTGAAAGTGGCTGAAAAACAATGTTCTGACTGGAATGTTGTTAGAGAAAAACACTATTTCAGCTAAAAAAAGAAGCCGAACAGACCGAATATAAGGTAAGCCGAACAGGACCAGAACGGCAGAAAAAATTGTGTGACACATGTATACATGTAGCTTGGACTTGATGTCGAAGACTAGAAAACCACACCTGAATTTTGGACCACTGTTATATATGGAACATTTGTAACAATTAGTTCACTTGATTCATAAGAAACACTACTATCCATGTGATAGTTAGGTGGTGTTTAAATCTAGGGAGTGAAGTTTAGAGATATCACATCGGGATGTCACATGAGAGTGTTCAGATAGTAATAATAAAACAAATTACAAAAGTCCTCGGTAATTCACGAGACGAATTTATTAAACCTAATTATTCCGGCACTAGCATATGTTTACTGTAGCACAACATTGTCAAATTATAGACTAATTAGGCTTAAAAAATTCGTCTCATAAATTAGTCGCAATCTGTGCAATTAGTTATTTTTTAGTCTATATTTAATACTCCATGTATGTGTCAAAACATCCAATGTGATAGGGAGTAAACTTTAGAGGAGAAACTAAATAAGGCCTTACTTATATTTTTATGAGACAACAACTTTAGAAATAGTGATGTAATGCAAAAACATTTGGAGTTGAGCAGCTTTGGTGATAAAGAATATGTTAAGCGGTAGATTAGAAAGAAAAAAAAATAACGGAGGCAGGTTCGTCTCTAGAACCTTTTTCAGATGTTGTTCTTTTGTCTAACCGCAACTGGAAAAAGATAGAGCCCTGCTCGTTTGGGCTGATTTGGCTTATAAGCCATGGCTGAAAGTATTGTTAGTTTATTTGGTGTGAGAAAAAAAATACTCAATCCATCCTAAATTGTAAGACGTTTGACTTTTTTAACACCAAGTTTGACTACTCGTCTTATTCAAAAATTTGTGTAAAATATCACTTCTTTCGTCGTGGTTTGGTTTATTAATAAAAATTCTTCAAGAATGACTTAAATTTGACTATATTTGCACAAATTTTTTTTGAATAAGACGAGTGGTCAAACTTGGGTCAAAAAAGTCAAACGTCTTACAATTTGGGATGGAGCGAGTACTATTTATTAACTGATAAATCATGACTTATAAGTCAAATACGACCCAGCGATGCGCTGCCACCTAGCTGACCGCTGATGCGCCGCACGCCACTAGAGGTTGGGCCGCCCAAGCTGCCCATCCGGGCTTAGGCCATCCCGCCGCGGCCCGCGGCGCCGCCCATCCCGGCATCCTGCCCATGCCGCGCAGGCAGCAGGGCACCGCGCCGCCGCGGGCCACCCCTGCCCTCCAGCTCGAGGCCCCTCGCCCAGCCCTTGGCGGCCGGGCCGTCGTCCGTCGACCGGCCTCGACTATCGGCCTGCCCACTTGTTAGTTTCCGTACAAAGTCTGTAATGAATTTCGTATTCATGTGTATCGTACAACATTCTTAACTTCTTAGATGCTCTAGTCTTGAGTTAAACATGGATCCGCCACTGAGTATAAGCACCTAAAATGAGTAAATTCCACCGCAAGAAACTTATGACTATGTTACTTTCATGAGCTAGTTCACACCTTGATGCACACAGGAAACCAATTGAGCTATTTTCAGTTTGTTACTTAATGCAATAGCAACACTGAGAGTCTATTTGGTTAAGAACCTAGAAAAGCTGCCCTAGTCAAGCGCTGCAATCAAACGGCCAAGAATATGGTCCTTTTAAGTGACAATGAGTCTGTTCGCTGGTTGGTTTCTGGGCTGATAAGCTTGGCTGGTGCTGGTTTGTTGCGAAAGAAAAATACTGTTGGTTGGCTGATAAGCCCTGGCTGAAACCAGCAAGCGAACAGGCTGAATATAATAAGGTTTTCATGACAGAAGTAAAAGGAAAAATACCACTGGTTTTAATTAGGTGCAAAACTATGTTACATATAAGTGAAGACGGACCTTTTCATACAAGCCTTCTACGTAATCACTGACGGTGTGATTCTACCGTTCTACGGTTCTAGCGTTCTAGAATACGTTGGAGAGACGTCGAGACTCGTATAGCCACACATACGACCAGACCAGTGTTGACATATATATACTAATAGATAATAGGTTGCCATACCCTTGAGGAGCAAGTAAAAGATGGGTCTTTATTTGTGTTACAATTATATCAACCAAAAGAAAATAAAACGTCAAGAAAAAAAAAACGACCAAACGGTAGACGCGGCCAGGATTCCAAGTTAATCCGATACGAATATACCTTTGACCTTGCCTCTTTGCCGCCACGAAATGCCATTGTTCTGCGGTCGTAGAAATAATGCCACGAATATGTTAGAAAAAAGATTGCTTAGGACCTGTACTCGAGTTCAATTTTGAACTATTTTCTACGGATCATTTTATTGAGAATACCAAATATCCAAATCCACAAGTATCATAATCAAACTTTTTTAAATCAAGTTTGAGAAAAAATCCAATAACATTTGACATTAAGGACACGTTTGGTAAAGATCTAAATTCTCTGAAAACGCTTTAGATTCGGTTTTTTCTTAGAAACGTTTTTGTGAATCAAAATTGCTTTCTCAAATCATTTGGCTAGTTGGTTGGCGCATTTGATTTGTAAAGGGTGGTGAAAACCATTGTCTTGCATAAAAAATCCTAAAATATATAAATTTTACAAAAAATGGTATTTTTTATGGCAAAGAACTATTAAAAAAGCAACTTAATTGGTATCTCTTTGAAGAGCGCCAGTACAAATTTTTTCGAAATTAGAGAGGAAGTAGGAAAGGAAGAATCAGAATCAAAATAAGGAGAAACAATTTAGTAGGTGATTTTGATCTCTAGTATAAAAAGAATCACTAGAAACATTTATACCTAGAATCAATATTGTCTTTGACTGATTGGTAGAGTTTCTAGTGATTCTGTAGAGAAACGTAACTGATTCTCACATTCAAACGGACTAAATTTGTTTCATTAGATTCTTTCATATGATATTGAACGGGTACATAACAATATATTCTAAAAATATGGTTAAAGCTAGTTAGATTTAATTTGAAACGAAACTAAAGTGAGCTATATAATTTAAAACACATAAAGTTTCTAAACATGCTGGGCGTTCAACTCGTGTCTCATCTAGTATAAGTTATTATGCCTGGGGATTTTCAATACAAAAGAGGAATTATGTCAAAAAAAATACAAAAGAGGAATTATTTAGGTATATTCAAACCAAAGAGGAATCGGTCACGGATTCACTTCAAGGATCACGATCGCGCAATGCTCCCATCCGACGCGAATCGCGGAATCCGACCGTCTCACGAATCTCGAGGCGAGGAGTTCGGCCACCACTATCTCACGTTGCTTCTCGAGACTTTTCCGTGTGTGCCATTATAAAAGATCGTAATTCCTTGTGTGCCTCTGGAAAAATTCAGCGGTCTTCAGCGTTACTACTCTAACTTTTTCGGGTCCTACATGCCACTTCCGTCAGTTCAGGCTCTAACGCCGTCAAACTGCAGGTGTGAAAAGACGAAAATGCCCTTAAGTTTAAATATGTTATTAATTTTTTTAAGCATCTTAACGACTTCAAATGAAAAAACTCAAAACTAGAAAGTTGTAGATCTCGTCGAGATCTATAATTTTCATATAAAAATTATTTTCATTTAATTCCGCAAAAAATATGATTTGATATGATTAATATATCTTAGAAAAAATCATCATATTTTTTTTGCGAAATTAAATGAAAAAAAAATTATATGAAAATTATAGATCTCGACGAGATCTACAACTTTCTAGTTTTGAGTTTTTTCATTTAAAATCGTTAAGATGCTCAAAAAAAATTAATAACATATTTGAACTTAAGAGCATTTTCGTCTTTTCACACCTGTAATTTGACGGTGTTAGAGCTTGAACTGATGGAAGTGGCATGGAAGACAAAAAAAAAATTAAAGTAGTGGTATTAAAGACCGCTAAATTTTTACGTAGAGGGGATTACGATCTTTTATAATGGCACACAGCGAAAAATCTCTTCTCGTCTCGCTCGGCTCTTCTTCTCCCTTTCCACTCACCGCGGGGACACCGAGCGCTCGCCGCCGCCTTCGAGCTCGGAGCGGAGCCACGCCTGCCAATGGCCGTCGCCACTGTTACCGCCACCCATCTCGCTCCCTCTTTTCCATCCCGTAGTCGCCGGAGACGCGCCGCGCCCCGCGCGGCGGCAGGCGGCCTAACGGCGCGCGCGCGGCGGCTGCGCTGCGAGTTCGTCGCCGGCGGTGGGAACGGGGCGCTCTCCGGAGAGGACGACCCTCGCCTCGTCGACCGCGTAAGAATATCTCCTCTTCTCTATTGCTCCCCTCGTCGGCTTGTCCTCCCTTTCTTCTTGTTTTCTGTTGGTGCCATTTCGTCGAACGAGTGAGGCGCAGTCCGCGGGAACAGCTCTGTATCGTCTTCATGCCGACGCATGAGGTCCAGAACTCGGCGGGGCGATGTGGAACAGTAAGGGCACGGTGTTTGCTGCGGTGGAGTATTGTTAGTGTTCTTATCCCTTGAGTTGTCTTGTCACTGCATTGCATCTAGCACATGGTGTGCGAAGTGGCATTGCTCCAGCTACAGTGAACTTCTGTTGCTACGCTTGTCAATAGGAACGAAAGGCATCACAGTGCTACGCTTTATAGCGCTGTGCTTGTATATCAAATGAAGCGCGTTTGTTGGAAAATTAATTAGCTTGACCCCTACTGCACGTGCTTCAAAGTTTGCATAAGCTGTTAGGCATTTAATCTATCCTAGTAATCTATCGGATTAGTTGGTTCTGTTGTTATGCCATTGACCAATTGAACTAACAATATTATGAGATATGAACTTCAAAAGTTTCAAATATATACAAACATGTAAGAACGTCCTCAGTGTGATTGGGAGAAGCATTCCGTTATACCACACGCCATTCATTTAATAAACTACTACAGAGGAATTTAATCTCTCAAGTCGATGCAAGGACTTCTGTGTACTGCAGCAGTCCAGGTGAAACAAAAAGCCATGATACCTACTACCTACCTTGCATATTAATACAACGCACATCTTTGATCTTATCTGACATGTAAGAGAAGGAGGAGAGGTGATAGAGCACTGTGCAGATACAAAGGAGGGAGGGTTTTGGATTTTCATTATGAGATGAGTCCCACATTGGAGTAGGAGAAGCCAAATTAAATCCGTATCAACATCGTGACCTGCTATGTACTCAAAGTGGATAAAATCAATTGCTGTACTATTGCTAGTCACAGACCTACTGGAGCTGTGATGACATAATGTGAATCAAGTGAGATGATGCAACCCATAGGTTTTGATCTGATCAGGAACATTAGTAGTCTTTATCGTAAATAAGGCAACTCTTTACCTCGATTCACTTAAGTTGAAAAGTTGACAATACTGCAGTCAGATATACTTGCGTTGGTGTCATTCGGTTTAATTTTGTTTTGATATTTGTTCCTGCTTTTCTTGAGCACTGCTATCTTGAATTGGAAATCTTCACCTTTTTTTTAATGGATGACTTATCTTTGTGAAATAGTATTGTACCTTTTGAACACTGATGTATTACATTGTTGGCTTGTTGCTTTGGTTTGTCATTAAGGGATATTTATTCACAATTTCATCTGCAGCAAAAAGCTCTTGATGCAGCTATGAATGACATAAACAGCTCTTTTGGAAAAGGAAGTGTTACAAGATTAGGCAGTGCTGGTGGTGCTTTTGTGTATGTTTGTAGTTTCTTGATTCCTTCACTGAAAAGTTCATTAGCAATCACATTGTTCTGTATTTCTATTATACTGATTATTACTGTCTCCAACCCAGTGAGACATTCCCAAGTGGTTGTCTAACACTAGATTTTGCTCTGGGTGGTGGCCTTCCAATAGGAAGAGTAGTGGAGGTAATTTCTTATTTTATGCTTTCTGCACTAACACAGCTAGTGTAGTTCATTCTTTCTTTGATCTAAGAACATTCAAGTCAAACCATGATTTTACAAAACACTGTAGTGGTCTTACCTGTATTTTGGATTTTGATCTCCTATCTTTAAATGATTTCATTTGTAAAACCTTGCAGGTATATGGTCCAGAAAGCAGTGGAAAGACTACCCTAGCTTTGCATGCAATTGCTGAAGTACAGGTTTGAAATATTATAGTAATGACTACTTTTTATGATCTAGCATTAAACAGTTATTATGGCAATAAAAGTTGTTCAATGTCCAATGTGCAGAAGCTTGGAGGAAATGCCATGCTTGTCGATGCAGAGCATGCTTTTGATCCAGCTTATTCAAAAGCTCTTGGGGTAGATATTGAAAATCTGATTGTCTGCCAGCCTGACAACGGAGAGATGGCACTAGAAAGTAATCCATTTCACACATATAGGGCTCAATGCTTCTTTACATAATATTGATCCTCCCTCTACTTTAGTATTACTCTACAGCTTTTATCTAGTAAAGGACTCATATAGTCATATTCATCCTTTTTAGTTTTTGTCTCAATTCATATATTGTTCCACTCGGGTTTGATATTCATCCTCTAGGACCCTATATCTAAATTTAACATATGAGAATCCTGCAGAGATGGTTTGATAGAGCAATAATTTGTTTTTTTTTTTCTAAATAAGCCTCTTTCGATTGAGTTTTATATAAACTTCAGATGTCTGTCATGGAAGTTTACTTTGTCATTTTGAGATGGTACAGAACTGTTACTTGCAGCCTCCGCCCTAAAAAAATATTGCAATTCTAGGTTTGGACTAAGTCAAAAAAAATTAAGTTCAACTAAGTTTATAGAAAGTAGTATGAACATTTATTTTCCAAATAGGTTTATTATGAAAATATATTCCATGGTTAATCTAATGATACTTATTCGGTACCATACATATTAGTATTTTTTGTATAGATTTAGTCAAATTTGAGATTGATTGACTTAGGGAAAAGCTAGAATTGAACTCTTTTTTTGGGATGGAGGGCGTAGATTTAAAAAAAAATAAAAACTACAAATTTAGTGAGTATAATCTGATATGCATACATATTAATATTTATTTTCTAGGCTGGAATATGTCCAGTGATCTGGACATGCTTTTGTATTTTCACAATTAATTTACCATTGTGTACTCATTTACAAACCTACTTGTAGTGTTGAAATTTAGCCAGCAATAGGTATTTCTTCTCGAATAAAATGATACCACATGCTGGATTTTGAGAAGTATAAGCCTCTACATGGCTGTGCTGTTTTATTTTGTTTGTGGGCTTGTATGTCAGTACAATTTTCTTCCTTTATTTGTTAACCTTGAATATCACTATATATTTAGATCTTTGTTTACATGAAAAATTGCTCATATATTCTTACTGTGTATCAGTTGCGGACCGCATGTGCAGATCTAGAGCAATAGATCTTATCTGTATCGATTCGGTGTCAGCACTCACTCCACGTGCAGAAATTGAAGTATGCTTCCCTCTCCCATTTTTCTTTTGCGCTAATTCTGTATGAAATGCTGCATTGGCCATGTAATTTATCTGTTTTTCAGGGTGAGATAGGGATGCAACAGATGGGTCTACAAGCTCGTCTGATGAGTCAAGCATTGAGAAAGATGTCAGGGAATGCCTCAAAGGCTGGCTGTACTCTTATGTTCTTGAATCAAATAAGATACAAGGTGTAATACTGAAACAGTTACATTGACTCCCAGCTAATTGCTTATTTTCATTTTATTAATTCATTTGATGGAATTGGTATTCAACAGATTGGAGTATTCTATGGAAATCCTGAAGTCACTAGTGGAGGGATAGCCTTGAAATTCTTTGCATCTGTCCGCCTCGAGATACGGCCCATTGGGAAGATAAAATCTGTGAGATCAATAAAGTAAATTTCATCTATCCTGAAAGTTGAGGTGGGAATGATTGTTATGCTTGTTTTTCTTTTTCTAAGCCCAAAGGAGATGAAGATGTTGGTGTGAAGGTTCGTGTCAGAGTGCAAAAGAGTAAAGTATGTCCAAATTTTGTGCAGTTCTTGCTCTGTATGATTGACACTTCTACAGTAGGCTTGATATCATTTTCCCCCTTCTTTACAAGGTATCTAGGCCCTACAAGCAAGCTGAATTTGAAATCATTTTTGGGGAGGGTGTTAGTAAATTGGTAAGTTTATAATTTTTTAGCCTTTTGCCATTGTATCATACACTAAACAAAATATTGGACAGGGGTGCGTTCTTGATTGTGCTGAGCTGATGGATGTAGTTGCAAAGAAGGGTTCATGGTACAGCTACAAAGATATAAGGTATGCCGGGAGCTTTAGAAGAGTTTAATCTTCGGTGAATAATTGAGATTTAAAAATATATTTCTTATGGGAGCTATCTTTACATGTCATTTGGTTTTGAAAGCAATATTACTTTGACAAATCTTTCTTAGTTTCATTTCATGTGTTTTTTCACATATTTGGGTTAATTATATGAGACCCTTGGAAAGGCCTCAATATGGGTCCTTGTCTTTGAAATACCATTCTGTTTTTTTGTGCTTAATAATAAGATAACTCTAAGATCTGAGCCTTCTTGATATGTAGTTTTCCAATTAAAGGAAATCAATTTTAAAAATTAAATGCAGATGTGAGTTTTTTTTCTCCTTTGCAGAACAAAAGTAGTGACTTTCTGTTGTCAATCTGTCCTGATAATTAGATGAAGAGCTTCTAGTTCATCATTAACAGTCGTTCTGATCATACTGTATCAGAATCAAATCCAAATATTCAGAAATTGATACCATTATTTAAACAACAAATTATTATATTACTTCGATTCAAACTGGGGAGTTACTGTCCTTGTCAGTATCATTCTGCTTTACTTTTTGCCCTCCTTGGTTAGGTACTTAGGTTGGTAGGAGATCGGTGTTACAGTGCAATTATCTTCATGTTTTGGTCAAAAGATTATCTCCATGTATTGACGTACCTTTGATATGTGCCTTTTTTTGCTTGAACAATTGCTCAGATTGGGCCAAGGCAGAGAAAAGGCACTGCAGTATCTCCGAGAGAGCCCAACCATCTGCGATGAGATAGAAAAGGTTTGCTGGATTCTGCCTGGGCTTTCCGCATGAGCCTGCTACAGTTGAAAAGATTCGAATCCATTTTTCGCTGCTTTAAAGCTTCAAACTAAAGGCTTACATGTATATGTTTTTTATGTGATCTGATGAAACAATCTCTTTCAAGCACATATTTGTCTTTTACCGGCTTGTCATGAAAATATGTTATAAATTGATGTCATGATCTGTTATGTGCCAAGCATGCCATAGATTTTTATCAGGACTTCTTGGATTCAACACTAGAGCCATGCTCACTTGTTTCCTTGATATAAATATAATTACATATATGAAACATTATTTATAGAGATCAATCATCTGATGAACCGTTGGTTTTCTTTCTATACTTGTGGGCACTAGTGTCTTTGTACATATCCTGTTCCTTAGACATGCTTGATGAACATGCAGGTGGTTCGCGCTATGATACCAGAAGGATCCAGACATATGAGCTTGCTAGCTTTCGGGCAGTCATCATCAACTGAAGATGAACAAGTGTATGATGAGCAATAATGGCACACGAGGTTCCAAAGATGAACACTTGTGAAGCCGTCAAGCACCACAATTCTGGGCTTGTCTTAGAGATAACAGGAAAGATCAGAGGTAATCAACCAATATGCAGTCGTGTGGGCGCTGTTGGAGGGGAATTTGACTGATGTGTTGTACGCGTGCCACCACTGAGAATGATTTAATTTGCGTGGGTATTTAGTGTAATAACCAAGGAACTGATATTTCCAGTTAATGAAGCTAATCTTTATCTGCACATCTGTCAACTGTTCAACAATTTCGGGGCGAGTTGTGAAATTTAAGTTTGGTGTTAGCCTGACTTGATAATGGTACTGTGAGATCTGTGGAGGGCAGATTTGTAATATTACAATGAGCTGTAAATTCCTCTCCAACAAAGGAAAATATCAGGTACAAATGCTTGCCTTATCAACCTTTTTTTTAAAAGCCGTCAACGAGCATGCCGGGCACCTGCTCCATGCTAATCCCAAGTTTAAACTAGTGGAGTTTATAAGGCCGTTAGCCCGTTATCTACCAGCAGACTGGGCCCGCAGGTAACCTGGGTCGTCGAACTTTCTGTTGGGTGTGCTGCTGATGTGCATGCATGATGCATGAATGGATCTCCAACTGCCAGTTTTTAGCATCGGCGTGGTTAGCGCCCAGACGTCCGGACGGACGTGCATGTCTGGATGCCCGTGCAGCCCGCCCCAGTCCACCATCGCCCCACCCTCGTTCGGCTTCTTCCCACTCCACGCGCACACTCCGCCCTCGTATTTGAGGTCATCGGTTATTCTCCAGGCCCACTCTCTCTCTCCGCATGTCGGCACTTGAGAGCCGGGACCCGGCGCGTCCCTGACCGGAGCACCCGTCCGCCCCCCCCTGCTGCCTAGCAGCGCACGCCACAAGACCGTCCGCCTCCGGCTCGCCCCCGGCCAAACAACACTTGCAACATGAAAAAACATTTGAATGCAACAAACGTCTGAAAACAGATGAAATATTTGGAAAATGCACTTGCAACATGTGTGTGGAACACATGAAACATCCAAAATATAGCACTTGCAACATGAAACCACTTGTTGCGACATAAGACTGAAACAACTGAAACATTTTGGAACATATTGTTGCAATTTGTGTGAAACATATGCAATATCCAAATAAAAAACGATTGCATCATACGTTTGGAAATAGATGAAACATTTTGAACAAACGCTTGCAACTTGCATCTGCAACACTTGCAACATATGCAACATGTGCAACATCCCCGATCTACTTTTGCAACATTAAAATGGAACAATTACAACATACACCTGAAATGTCATACATATGCAACATAGGGGAGGGGAAGACTGGGGTCGGTCGATCCAGCCGCCGGTGTCGGAGCGGACAACGACCGGCGGCGCACGAACACCACCGCCACCAGCACTAGGCTTGCCTCGGTCGGGCGGGCGCACCAGCGCCACCAGACTAGTCTTGGCTCGGGGGGCGACGAGTGGAGTGAGCATCACCAGCACCAGCGCGCGTGACGAGAGGGGCCGAGCAAGCGGCGCCAGATGGAGCACGCGACAACAGCGAGGCAGAGTGGCATCCGCGTTTGGGGCGGGTCAGACAGAGTGGCAGTCGCAAGACGCTGTGGTAGAGACGAGAGAGCGGAAGGGATATAAAGGTTTTTTCTTTTTTTTTTAACGGTCTGGGGTGGGGCGAGTGTGAGTGGAGAGCGATCGTTGGACTATATCATGGCCCACCAACGGCACCGTCCGCCCGGACGGACGCCGATACCCAGCAATACCGTTTTAGCATTACGAGCGTGTTTGAATGAGAGCTGGCCAGAGCTGCTTGGGCCAACCCAAAGGGTGGGCTCGGCCAGCTATGGCGGCCTGTGACGCAATTGCGGACCTTCGTATGGTTCCGCCCTGGCTTTTGCGATTAGGTTGACTGTTGAGTTATACTTCTCCCGTTCCCTTGTCTTAAAATCCGACTTAGTATTTTTCTCTCACAATAATTTAGCCAGAACAATGTTTTTGCTTGTTTTTTCAGCCAAATTCAGCCAAGCGAACGGGACCGAACATTAGGTAGGTTATTAAACCGTATCATGTGCAGTTCGCTGTTTCGTTACACATATAAACAACTTTACATATATAGATGAATAACTACTAGTACATTACAAACAAGTTCCTTCTTTAGCGGCTCAGACTCAGATACGGCGCAGAGATGCCAGTCGCCTCTCCAGATCGTCAACTTCAGCAGAGGATTCGGGTGGTGCCGCCACGTTCCTTGCAGGAGCCGCAGCATTACTGCAGAAACCACAATTTGCTCAGACAGCAAAGGCAACATGCAGAGACAGTGCGCCAGACCTAAATTTAAATGGCATGGTGTTGTCAGTTGAAATTTGAAAAATCATTTGCATACCGAGCGTGGCTGTTATCGACTTTCTTGTTAGTTGCTCCGATGCGCCCTTTTGGAGCCGAAGAAAGCTACATTTGCGAAAGCAAACGGTAAGTCAGAATTAAGATTCACAAAAAAAAAAAAAACTGCACAACAGACAACTGCCATGTTGAAAGCATACCTGAGAAGCCACATCGACACCAATCTCGTCAAGGACCTGCACACCCGACATAGCCAGTTAACCAGTTTACCATGGATGAATTTTTCGTGATCTGGTAGAAATCAAAGCAGAATTCTTTACAAGGTGGTATTCTGAGAACTTTGGGTTACCTGGTTTGTAAGCTCTTCTGTTTCCTCCTCCGCCTCATCTTTGTCAAGTGTTTCATCAATGGCATCCGACATCATCTCAAGCTGCATGGAAACGGCCATTCCAATGTGAGACAGCTTAGAAGCCTACAACAACATTCTTTTGATACAACAGTCCTAGACTGATATTGAACTCTGATCCCTCAGAAAAGATTAACAACTTGCTATCACATTTCATAGTTTAGCACACTAGCAAGCTGCAAATATTGTAAATTACATGAAGACGACTATTTTTAGGATGCTAAGAGGTTCTGCAAGCTTGTGGATGGTAACTGTTCTATGTCAGGGATACAATCTTCAAAAATTGAAATGTGCGAGACATATCAGTCAAGACTCAGGATTGAAACCCAATACACAGTGTTCGACTTCAATACGTCTTATAATGCATTTACAGTGCTCTAATTGATTCATTTCTATAGCAACTAAGCTAGTAACTAAGTGGGCAATGCATGAATTATACGAAAAGTACCAGCTTTGAACTTTGAAGTAAAATAAACAAGCCAGCACAGTGTCAATGTTATTACCGTCATGTCCAACTGTGTTGATTGTTTCTGGAATTCTTTCATGACCTTTATCTGTTTCGCCGGTTCCATTTGCTGAAATGTGCAGTGAAATATAGAAGACAGTTAGAAGATAGTCCAAAAAGTGTTCACAAGCAAAAATTTCTTAAGAGGATGTGTTGATACCGAATAACAGCTAAAATGGTTGTCTTCCATCTTACCTTATTCATTGCTGCCATAGCTTTGCTTGCACCTTTCATTCCAGCAGAGATTGAAGTGCCGGCATACATTGCCTGAATAAAGAATGGATGCATTAATCACAAGTTAGTCTATTCCACGATCAGAACAAAAATCCGAAAAAAATCAAACAGGAAGGTGGCCATGCCTGTGTGTGAGTAGCTACTCCACGAATCTGTGCCCGTGTGCCTTGCAAATTGAGGATTTGTTGCCTCAGCCTGACAAGTTGCCGAGCTAATATTTTGGTTGCGGCCTTGAGAAATACAGATCATCTATCATCAGAACATAGGATCTAAGAGAATTGGGACTCACGGATCTCCCTCAACTTCCTAATAAACTCACCTCATTTCCAGTCTTGGCAGTCTTCTTTATCTCTGCGACCAGCTTTTTCTCCTGCATAATTACAACTATGAAATTACCAAAATACAATTTGCACATAGATAGGTCGCATGGCCACCTGCGGGCCCATAAGTTGCCATGCCACGCTGTGGCCTCTAGTTCTAGTAAGGGAAGTCATAGAAGTGAATTAACAATAGACAAATATCAAAGGCAGCTCCATGTACCCTCTAAACAGATAAACAAATTTGCTAGAGTAGAGGAAGTTAACAAATAAACTAATAACAGTTGCCCAAGACAGCTACATGTATCACACTCCTCTAGACCAGAGAGATTTGTTTTGCACTCACACCTCACGCCACATGAGGAGGCTAGCTAGGGGCACAATGCTTCTAGATTGTGGCTAGAGCTTGGTAACCATTGTATTATTTCTGACCACAAATACCAGCAAGAACACAGGATACTGTAGTAAAAACTGCATCTTGAAATAACAGAGAATGGTGGATTTAATACAACCACTTCATGCCTCCACTCAAATTGTAGTTAAATGTTTCAAACAGCATACTGCATACCTCCATTTGCAGGAACCAATCTCTCGCTCAACTCCTAAAATATATAAAATAGAGAGTTGATATCAGAAAATTAGCACACGGTTGCGAATTATGTAACCTCATTTGAAACTGAAGGGCTGCTGTAATCTAATTTCTGAACTTTATAACAAGAGAAACTATCAAATGCCCATTGATTTACCAAATGTATGATATTTTGCTGATCTGATTCAATATAACAAAGATCCAGTAGCAAGTGTGGTAGCAATTGCTGGATTTTTTAGCATCACCACAGAGCAATATGAAATAGAGGCTAAAAGGGCTGCTACATATGCCCCATTCTTTAAATTGAAGAGCTACTGTAATTTGATATGCCAAATCTGTAACAATTGAAGTTATGGAATATCCACCTATATCCCAGATTCATGAACATGTGCTAGTCTGATTCGATATAACACAGCTCGACTAGCAAATGTGTCAGCAATTCCTGAAATGCCTGGGTAGCAATGCGAACTAATATGCTGCTACCAGTAAATCATCAGCAGTGGAAAAAAAACTGATCAGCAGTGCTCAGTTGCTCACCCCGCGTGGCGACCGCCATTTCACGTTTGCTGGTCCTGAGAGCCTCTGCAAGTGGCAAACAAACAGCAATTCATCAGCAGTGGGTTCAGCACACGAAGCTTGTGATCCGCATTCCCCCCCAACGAATCCGCGGAGAACCCGCAACGCGTAACGGAAGGCTTGACTCCTCCCCTTCTCCCACAAAAACGCACACAAGTTGCCCTAAAACCCTAACCCCAACCAGGCAGGCCTCCCTCCCTCCCGGTCCGCGGATGCAGAAATCCATGGAGAACCTCGCCTCCGGAGTCCGGGCGGCGGAAACGGCACTTCCACACCCCGTATAATCGGAAGCTAAGCAGCAGTGAGCACCAAAGAGAACGGCGGCGAAAATTCCCCAAATTTCTCGCGGATCCCCGAACGCCGGCGACAAAGGAAAATCCGTAACCGCACCTTTGGGATCGACCTTCTTCTTGAAGATGTTCATGGCTGCCGGATCGCTCGGGACACGAACCGCTCGCGAACGGGGAGGTGGAGGAGTAGACCGCCCTCAGTGCGCTGATTCCCCGCCGCAGATTTGGTCGCAGGAGAGCGCGGGGGTGCGGCGCGTGCTGTGTTCGTGCGTGCGTGTGAGAGGGGAGAGTGGGGAAGGACGGCGCCGCGCGAGCCGAGCCCAACGGGTAGTGTCTCAGTGAGCCGCCGACCCAACCCAGCTTCTAGGTCACTCCAGGCTTTAGTAGCCGTTGCGGGCGGAAAAACAACGCGCGACGCTACCCGCACCTGGACCCGTTCACGCTTCAGACATGGAGCGTGGGGTCCACGGGGGAGTGGGACCCAACTGTCTGTGGGGGATTCGAAGAGTGTACGGGGAGGGAGAGACCCGTCCGGCATCGCCTTGGGATTGGACGAACTGCCCACCACTTCTCCCTGTTTTTCTTTTGTCTTTGTTGGAATAGTTTATTTATTTATTTATACAGTTGATTTCCTGTCTTTTTAGTTTTTGTGGCCATTGGTATTGGTATGCAGGGGATTATTTCGTTGATCATGCCACCAATTTATATTTCCTTATTCTCTAAATACAAACATGGAATTAGTCAATTTCTTAGTTATTTATGTCTGTTTTCAAAATGCATATCCTTTCTTATAATTGACTAATGAGGAACGAGGGGGACAAAACCTCAAGGGATTCTTTGCATACTCCATCCTCTCCTTGACTAAACCTCCGACGCCATGTGCCACTCACGTGATGAAACATTCCACGCTAGCATGCCACATTTGGCATCTAGACACAGGTGGAGTTAGACCTAGATTGCCAGACTAAACCGAATTTAGGGTGCCGAAACTGCAATTTGAGAGTGTCGATGTTAGGTGAGAATTCTAGAAAAGTTTAAAGAATGCTACTGAATTTACTCATTCCGAAATGAAGTTATACTTCATCACGTACGCATAATAGAGTATGCGGCCATGGCTAGCAAGATCGATCTCATCGAGAATCCTAATACGGTCTTGTTTGTTTTAGATTTTTCATTTCGATTATGGTGGAAGATAACTTTTGAAATTGGCTTACGAGAAGCAAAAACTATTATCTATATTATGCCAACAGAAGATTTACCCCGCAAAAAGCATATTAATTTAGGCCCCATTTGGCAGGGCTCTCGAGCATAATTCAGCAACACTATCATATCCTGGCTGTCGGGCGGTTAGAGGCTGGCAACATCTAACTATATAGCAGTTAAATTTGCTAACCAAGGCAAGTCAATCAAACTGGCAGTGAAATTTGTTTTTTTTTTCTTTTTGAAACTGCAGTGAAATTTGCTAAACATGGCAAAGACAATCAAACCGGTCTGAAGACAGCCCAAATTTCGCCCAGAATTGGACTACGAACATAAATGCATCCTAAGGAACCAATTATCATCCCAAATTCCACAAGCCCGGATTTGGCAAAGGCAGCCCAGTAAAATTTGTCTTCTAAAAAGGGAAATATTGAATGAATAGATTGTAAATTTTGAAACTTTGGTATTTCTTTTTCTTCTGGACAAGGTAGTTGCCCACTCAAGTCAAAGCTTTTCAGTCGAGATTAAGGACAGCCCAATCCAAACTCAGGTCGAACAGATCCAGAATCAGACCGGAGCAAACGGAACAAATTAGCTTTAATGTTGGTTGGGGTGGGCCAGGCCCAGACAGCAATGCAACGGCCGTGCGACGCTTGAGGGCCCCAGTGGCAAGCCACTGTGGTGTACCCTCACCCACCTATCTGATATAAAACTGGTACTACACTTGATCCTAACCATAAGGCCGAGAAAGGTAGGAATTGTCCTTGTGCCGTGCCCCTTCTTTTGTAGCTCTCTCCCTCCGCGCTCAGCTCTCGGTAGCCGATGTGGTGCTAAAACTTTGCCTCTTCTTCCAACAAACGCACGCAACGCGGCTGCGGCCTGTGGGCGGGGTCGGGTGGCCTGGGCGATGAAAGTGAAACTGGGCCGCGTTGTATGATCGCGCTTCGCATCAAGTCCGGCCCATTGGCTTGATCAGGGCTGTTGACTCGTACTCATTTGGAGGCCCAAAACAGCGTCCGCCAAGAGCATCGAGTCTGGCCAGCAGCAACAGCATCTGCCGCAGCTCCACCAGCGCGGCAGCGCCTCTCATGGCGGGTACTCGTGCCGATGGGTACCAAGATGAATAATCTTCCGTTATTCCTTTCGTTTTTTTTTTAAAAAAATGTAATGCTAAACCTATGGCTTTATTGAGCTTGCAAGGAGGTCCGTGATAAATTAACCTGGTGGAGATGATCTCCCCCCATTTCTCCTTTTTTTTTTAAAAAAAAAGTTTGCCATCCTGTACGTCGTACCTACGACGCTTGTTTTTCTTGCAGAACAAAATGTTCATGGAAGCACTTTTGTTCACAGGTTTGCTACTAGCAATAGGAGGTGGCTGCGGTCTAGCAGTGCAATCTCTTTTTTGTCTTCGTCCTCACTATATATGGTGCACATACTCGAGAGGCACGAAAGGCCAAGAAACTGAAAGCTCTATTCTTCAGGCAAAACCGAGGGTTGTTACTACAACACCTCGTTGATAGAGTGATTGCCGAAAGGATGACCTTCAGCTTGGCTGTGCTCGATAAGGCAACAGACCATTTCGACGAGACCCCAGTGGCGGCCGTGACACCGTCTACAGAGTCATCCTATCAAACGGACATGTTGTTGCCATCAAGAGATCAAAATTAGCTTCAATCCAGAAGGAGATCGATGGTTTCACAAACGAAGTTGCCATCCTCTCACAGATCAACCGTCGGAATGTCGTGAGGTTATATGGATGCTGTCTCGGGACACGAGTTCCGCTGCTTGTTTATGAGTTCACATCAAATGGGACTCTCTGTGATCATCTCCATGTCCGAGGCCCTAGATCCTTACCATGGGTTGATAGACTAAGGATAGCTCTTGAAGTAAAAGAGTTTGCAGAGCTGGCATCGACATGCTTGAGCTTGAAGGGGGGAAGGTGGAGACTAGGCTGGAAAAGGTACTAAGATCAAACAGAAACATGAGCTACGAACAAGGATGTTCAGCCGAGCTATATACTGCAAGCCAAGTCAAATGAGCAATGGGAGCACTAGCAAACAATACAGCGCGTGGAACAGGAATTCTCACTTACAGCAAGCTTCTTTCGCTGATTTTGGCAGTCAAATACTCAGGTATTGGTCAACAGAACACAGCAGAAGAGAGATATGGCCAAAGCTTAGTACAGCTTATTATATCCTAGTTCTGTTTGTGAATACTACTGCAATCAAGCATCGATGATTCCATCGACGACATACCAAAATTTTAACATCTTGTTTCTTTTTTTTATGGCAGGTTTATTGGATAGTAAAACACCGAATATTTTAGTTTTTTTAAAAACAACACCCAATATTTTGGAACTTTTTGTATGAATGTGTAAGACAACCAATATAAACTTTTTCTATTGTAGATCGTCGTTATATTTGCATCTAGTGTGACTACATTTACCCAAACAAAGTATGGCATAAATCTAAATTCATGATAGAAGGAGGAATAATATGTGTATTGCGAGCAAAAACGTTGTACAGGTGATCAAGCTCCCCACGCTGCCAAAATTATTGGGGTTAGCATGCATCGCCGAAGTACAATACCAGAAGCCAAGAGCCTAACTAATTAAGCAAACACTTTTCAATGATTTGGAGTCATTCATCTAGCACACAATAATGTTAGCGGCTTATATTAGTGCGCTAACTAGTGCGTACGTGGAAGTGGATTAAGATTTGCTGGTCCTCTCTGGTCCCAACGTTTGGCGCGCGGAACCGACCTGCCCCGCGACAACAGCAAATACAGGAGGATAAAAGACACGCATTCTCGTTGGTTGGGTGTGTGCGTAGTATTGATCTATGATGTATGAACGTCGTGTTGTGCACTTGTATATTCAGCACACACAAAAACATATGCTGTGTACATATGATGATGATACGGTGTTCATCGGATCTCTTGTGATTGTCTCACGCGGACGCGGCCCCACAACAACAGGAGGAGGCACGTCCAAGTGCAGAGACCGCCGCCGCCGCCGCTATAGCTCTAGCTGAGCTGTCCGCGCTCCTCGGCAGGAGCAGGACAGGCTTCTACTCAGTACTCACCGCCGAAAGCGAAGTGGCCCGAGAGCCGGACGAGACGAGCGAGCGCACCTCTCGCTCACTCCATTAGTCTGTCACCCGGTCACACCGCCACACGCAGTTTTAGCCCACAGCTCAGTCATATATCCACAGATTTGCAGATGGGTTACTTGCTAATGTTTCGAATCTCTATCTTTTTTACTTCACATTGCATGATAGCATCAAATTTGTGTTTTGTTATCAGGAACCGTTTGGAACCTTCCATTTTTAGAGGAATTACAATTTAAGCTATTTGGCTTGAAATTTGACATTCCACAACTTTTTACAAGTTCACATATAAACTTATCTCAAATTCATAGGATGAAAGATGAAAATTGATTCTATCATGCTATGTTTCTACTCTCTAACTTCTCGCTCTTCAACTCGATTCCCTAGAGTAGAAATGCAACATATAAGTATCTCTTTGTATGGCCAACAATAATATACAAATATATTCCGTTTAAAACAATATTAGCTGAATTAATTTATGTCTAAATTATAATCGTTAAAATGAATTCAATTTCAAGGATCAAACGGTCCCTCATAGTTCTTTTTTTTCAATTTCATAGTTATAGTTTTGACACTACACCATGACACACATTTGCCTACACTTATGTGTTGGCAAAAGGCAGGTTTGGACGACATATTATTTGTTGGCAATTGTATATCATTTTAATGTCTAATCATCTGTCGGCAATAGGACTGTAAGACTACAAATTATCTGTCGGCGTTTCTCTGCTGGCAGAAAAAGTGTCGGCAAAAATTAGAAGACTCAGAAAGTGTCGGCCAAGGAGTACCCACGCTGGGTAAAAATACTCCTACCCTCCTCTCTCTCC